CTTTCTGGCTGTCTGGCGAGACGTCTGCTTCTTTTTTAGACAGACAAAGCAACAGGTTGAAATTGTCTGTTTGCCAACATAAGGAATTTTTGGCTCTATTCCAAAATGCACAACAAAATATAAGAAATTCTAGAATTCCTTTACATAAATGTGTTACTACACTCATATATATATTTTTCTTTTATATTTTTAATAATATATTTCCTGATATATATATATATATATATAGGCCTATATAAAATATATTTTCTGCTTTTAAAGCATTCTCTCTCTCACTCTCTCTCTCTCTGCCTCTTCATTATAGAAAAAGAATTAGAAGTAATGAAAAAAAAACGAAATAAATGAAAATTTTTATATTGCAACAAGAAAAAAATTTACATTATTATTCCGTTCGAATTAAATTGAAAATTTTCGAATAAAATTTATATAATTTTTATAAATATTAAAATTTTTCTTTTGTTATAAATTTATTTTTTCTGCTTGTAAAAATTCTTTTGATTTTTTGAAATTTTAATTAAAATTATAATTAATTAATTAATACTGACGATACAATTTTAATAATTTTAAAATTAAGTTTTAATTTTTGTTATGTTTACGTTTTCCTTTTAAATAATTTATAAAATAATAATAACGTGTAATAGTTAACAGTGGCGTAGCGTAGTAGGGGCGGCAGGGGCGCCCCGCCCCGGGCGGCACTTTTAGGGGACGGCAAAATTTCACAATAAATAATATCTTGTAAAAATTTGAACCATTTTATTTCATATTTTTTGTCGCACTTACGATTCGGACCGATTGAAATGAGCACGAAATTTTTCATTACTTATTCTGTGATGAAACTGAATTTTATTCTTTTAAATTGAGATACTTAAAAAAGGGGGCGGCGAAATTTTCCTCCGCCCCGGGCGGCTGACATCCACGCTACGCCACTGATAGTTAATGTTAATTAAATGCATTTTGTCCGAATTATTTTTTAATGTTTACTGCTTTATATAAATGGCTTATTATTATATAAATTTTGTAGTACAGTACGTAATGCTTTTTTTTAATAAGCTGTCATATTTTTCCACAATTAAGCATTTTATTATCTCAGAATTTCTTAAGATTTTCGTCAGGGGAAAGCAAAACCAATCAAAGCTTTTCAAGAATATTTAATAATTTTTTAAATTTATTTACACGGGTGTTAACAAGATAATGTTAAGTTATTTTGTAAATTTATATTGAACTTTTCTTATTAACACAAAATTTTCTGACATTTAATTAATTCCAACGAAATTATANATTTCATCCGCTATATTGTTTAATGTGTTTAGAATTAATTGTAACTATCTCGTTGCCACGCCATCTATCGCTCGATTTGGTTACGATTTATATATAACAAACAAAGCTTTATAATTTATGCTTTATAAAAGACTCGCTAACAGTAAAAAAATAATATTGTTAAAAAGATAATTAATAATATATATATATATATATAACATCAGAAAATTTTAAAATATTTATAAAGTTAATGCGTAATTAATTGCTTATATTACAGAATCCAAGATGGCGGCGATTATTATTTTATATTAGATTAAGAAAAATGATTAAAAAGAAATTGCGCGGAATGAAATGATCCAATTGGCTTAAGTGCCAAATAGGTCAGGAATAACACAGATATGTTTGGCTTAAGAGTTTTTTTTCCTTTTTTTAAAACTTTGGATGCCGAAATTGTGGAGTTCGGTAAGTGGATGAAGTAGGTCAAGTAGAGAAGCAAAGAGATTTTTATCAATAAAAAGTTTTTAAGTAATTAAAAATTGGCTCAGCAAAAAATCATGCAGTAAGTTACTTAAGAGCGTTTGGCCACATTTATATATAATTACGGAGAAGGCGCTTGTCTTTCACGTAAGGATAAGTTAAGTGCAGAAACAAACACGTTGATAATACTTAAAGGGATAATTTGTATGGCGGTGGCGGGAAGGCAAAGTGAAGATGGCTAGTATAAATATATCAATTTTGAAAGATTTTATTGACATAGGATGGTCGGAGAGGAAATTAGAAGTACATACTGTATTTATTCGATGGAAAGCAAACATAGGAAGTGGAAATTACCTTCGTGCTAAGGTATGCTAAGAGATTCAGAAACACGCAATGATTCAAGTGGAAATGGGTGGTGGGTTAGTGGCTCCATCGATCTGTCGGTCGGGCCGAAGATATCGCATTAATACATCCTCTTCTGTTGTCTTTTCGTGTTCTTTCCGAATAAGGAACTTGTATTGAATGCATTAAGCCACTATTGAAATTTGGAAAACCTCGGGCGAAGTGCTATTGACGTACGAATTTCCGCAAATGTTTCTGATGTATAAAGATAAAGCTAACATTAGTCATCCCGACCGCAGACACCGGAATAGTGGGACAAAAGATGTGAAAACATCCATTGAAAATAATAGATTCCCAGTGGTGAAAGGAAATATCTGGATGTTTTACAATATGCAAATTCCTAAGTAATATTTTCAATGGCTGGTCTAAATTAATTTTTATCTAATAAGGAAGATAATTTGGCAGCTTTCTAAAATACAAATCACCTTTTTAGATAAAAATAAGGAAACCACCGCCATCAAAATAAAATAATATAAATAGACATTTATATTATTTTATTAGATATAATATAGGTTAAGAATTATATTATAATGATTCTAACACGTTTAAACAGAAAAGCATTGCTTTCTTCATTAATGCAATTACCAATATATATATATATACAGGCCTATATTACTCAATCCATTTTAAAACTATATTGGTTAGATCGTGCCTTTGACAAAATTTATTTAGAACCACGTTGCAATTGTATATTTGCAGAAGTAAATTTTAAGAATTTTTATGAAGTAGTGAGTCTAATATATTATCTGCGGTTTCAAAGAATAAAATATCAGTTTTCCAACTTAATATCTTTGGTGGGGACTAGTATAGATGTTTCTAGAATGTGAATTAGTCCTGCAAGATCAATAAGTGGGCTGAACATCGAAATGAAGAAAATCTAGAGATGAAGGAATGACCACAGAATAATATTTCCTGGCAAATAAAATTTGCTGTTAACGTTTCAAATATTTTAACTGAAACTTTTAAAAGATTTTAAATGGATTTTTGTGTTTATAAAATGCCAATGTCTGTAATAGATAAGTGTAATAGTAAAATGCCTGTAATAGATAAGTGTGGTATTGATGTTAACCCTGAGAGAGAAGCAATACCTCACAGATTTAGACAAACAGTTCAAAAGCAGGTTTCAGTGTCTCTAGCAGTCAGAGAGGTTGTCACTTATCAGACCTCTGGCTTGTCTCCCCGAAGAAATGATTGCTATCGAGTTTGCCTATCCCCTGAAGAATTCTTCCCAATAAAGTCTGGAATTCGTCTTTCTGCAAGCTTTGCTGGTTGACTGTACGCTGTTACTGTCTTCTCTCTTGTTTACTTGTGATTCTGATCATAGACAAACAAGATACTAGAAAGAAATCTATTTCTTTCCGAAATTTAAAGAATATCTCGAAGATTATAGAAGCTAGAAAGACTTCATTATTTGTTAGTATATCATCTCTAAATCATAAATTGTATAATGTTATTAGCATTCCGTTAAATTATGATATAAATCAATGTTAATTTGTATTAAATACTGACTTTTTTCAAATTTTATCGAGTTTCAAAACTTCCGATTCAAATATATCTCAGTAGATGACTGACTGTAATTTATTTATATAATGAAATCTTTATCTAAATAATTTCTGAATAGTTTTATTCAGATTACCGGATTTTTGCATTCTCTTCGAGTTGAATGATTCTCTTCTCCAAGCATCCAACATGCCTTGTAATGCTTGGATGCAAAAGATTTCCAACGAGTATATTTCATGCATGGTGAATCTATCGATCGCTTTCCTTTTGCATGTCGAATGGCAAAGCTTTTGCGTGTAAAATAGCTCTCTCACGAAAGACTCAAAATTCCTCTTCCAGGAAAGACAAATCTCCTTTGTACCTGTTGTCATGTGGTAAAAAATTCTACAAATAATATCTATGACACTACTTACCTACAACAAAATTTGTTTCTTCATGCACCGTCACGGTACCGTAATTTTTTTTCCACTAAACGTTTGCATGCGATTTGCATTAAAATGCGAGAACTCCATTAATGAAAAATTAACACATTAACTGCGATTATTAACGCTTTATGAAAGAAATATGACTAAAAAACACTTAAAATTAGCTAAAAATGAGCGAAGCAGTCTGCTGTTTATTATAGTAAATCCTTCAATATGCCGGTTAGTGTCATTTAGACTTATCTTCACTCTTTTGATCAATTTTAATGGTTGGATTAATACGGAAAATAGCATGATATTTATAAATTTAAACTTTTAATAGCCAGTTTGAATTTATTATACATTTTGGATAATTTATGACCCAATTCAATATGGCGTCATAGATAGGTAAATCAAACCGATACATATACCTGGTTACGAACATTATCTGCCTGTAACTTTACATTCAATTCGACTAATATCTCCTTCTAATGAATATTCATCAACTTCTAAACTAATCAACGTCATTTGAATGAGCCTATAAAGAAATCAGCGAGATTAAGTTTGGTCGATGAACTTTAAACGCGTAGTGCATTCTCTACCAATAATTTTTCTCTTCACTCCAGCTAAAATTAATTTACAGTTTTTGAAATAAATTTTTGTTTTTGGTACTAAATGAGTTGCCATAAATTATTTGCATTAAAAGAATACAATTTAATAACGTCCAAGTGCTAACTTTTCAGCAATTATTTTTGTACAACGTAGCTTTTTTCTAGATTTTTTAAGTATTTATAAATGTGATGCAAAAAAACACGTCCTTAATGATTTCAGTATCGTTGCGATGCGATGCGCAGTGCGACGCGTCAAGATAATTGTATAATTTAAGAATATAATGTTAGATTAATGCTGTGTGAAAGAATTGAAACAGAAATTAATGTAATATGTAATTTAATACCTTTTCAGGTGCTATATTTGATGTGAAAAGAAGCAATTATCCCAGCACACATGACATCGCATCCACACCGACCGCGATTCCGATTAAAGGTGAAACATATAATTACGTCTACGATGCTTTGTTGTGGGCGCAAGAAAGTAAGTACGTTAACGTTGAATTACTTTTCGTATACCTTTATTTCAAAACTATTACTACTAGCGATTATTCAAAGCCAGTTTATGCTACTAGCGAGAAATATTTGCAAAAATTTGCATATGTAATCACTATCTTTGTATGGCAGAATATTAGCAAAATAAATGTTTAAAATGAGAAGATTTTCAGAATCAGGATATAAAACGTTATTGTTAAAACTAAACTCTATTATTAAGCTATTAAAAATAACTATTATAAATTTGAGAAATCTTTTAAGTTTTTAGTTCTTATCTTAATTAAACGAATTCATTTAACTTTTAAAAGAATCGATAATACTCATTGAAAGCAGAGAAAAAATTCTGAGAAATTCATCTCTGTGAATTCACTTTATGCTCCGTATCGTTTAGTTTCTGTTTGAATTTCAATATTTCCTTTGTTTCCCCCGAGAAATCTAGCTTGCCACTTCAATCTCATATTTTAGATAAGATGAGGCAAAGTCACAGTTGGTTGCTTTCTGTGCGGCCAACCACAGAAAGAAAGAGTTTAAACAAGAAGCAAATAATTTCGATTATTCTCATAATGGGAAAATTGCATTTTAGATTCTACTCGTTCTACAAATTCTAAATGAGAGAGAAATCTTCCAATCAATCTAGATAATTTCTTTTAATAGAATGTCTTAATGTTTAAATCGCAACCAGCTTATTGTCTGATAGTCGATAGAATAGTTAAGAAGGATATAGTGGATAAACTTCATACAGTTAGTTTAATTTGTAATTATTTTCTGCATTTATTGTCTTTTTTAACATTATATATAGCCTATATGTAGCCAATGTTATAGAAAGAGAAATACATATTATCCATTAATGTTTTTATATTAATAGATATCATGCATTTTGAGAACTCCATAATGGAAAGAATTGTGTTTTTAAAAGCATTAATATAATATTAAGACAAAATCTATTCATAAATCTTCACCATAACTTAAAATCATATTGAGAATGTACTATAACCTCAATGCTGTACAGTACTGTACAGTTCAGGTACAGTACAGTACATATCTATTGTGGCTGTTGATATTATTACGTAAGATATCAAATTACAGTATAATGTTTACTTTTAAAAATAAACTTACATTAAACTGAAATGTTGATATATTTTGGTATAGAATATATACTATTAATAAGTTTTTTGTTTAATTCCTAATGTCAAACAGTAGTCGAAGAATTCATAAACAGGTCCATCGAGAGTGGGAAACTGGGGATTTTTCTCTGGGCCCGGAGAAAACTTAAGGGCCCATAGTGGTTCCTACATTTATAAAATTAATGTTGTAACAGAAAGTAAAAGCTTTAAGACTGCATTTTATTAAAAATAAACATTCTACGCATTTCGTTGTCCCCCAAAAAAGAGGCCGGAGAATAAGTAAAAAGGGTCCACTCTATCCCGGGCTCCATACAAGCTCTTGACGACGGTTTATAGAGTAGAGATTATTATTATTATTAAGCTTCAAAAAGCGATTTTAAACACAAGTTAATCGTAGGATTAATGCTACCACTGGAAAATGCCAAACATTACATAATTTGTACAAATGTAATGTTTTTTATTCAACCATGTTTTATATTGTTGTACTATGTCTGAATTTAAGAATATTTTAAATTATGTTGCAAGTTTATAAAATTGTTATTTTTTGCTATCTATATAAATAAAAATGTAAATGTTTAAAATCTTATATCTCCGAAAGTTCTTAACCGATTGCTTTGAAATTTTGACACAATGTTGCATTTGAATACGCGCGTTTTTATATTATATAGATGTCGAAATCCCCCCCGCGGGGAAGAGGGACAAAATTAAGGCTTATCGTGAAGAACTGGTCTTCTATTATACTATTTTAGATGCGGTTTTTTGCGTTTTTGATTGCGTTTTAATAGGGTACGTCAAGAGAATGTACACTAAGAAGGAATTTTTCGGGGAGTGTTATACATTTATAATAGATACATTTTGAGCCACAGCAACGCGTGGCCGGGTACAGCTAGTTTAATATAAATCTTGACAAAGTCCAGTTTTATATTTCGGTATGTGATTCTGAGAATGATATAATGACAGAAAAGATAATATATATAGACTACTCATCTGTCTATCCGTCATTGATTCTTGATTTCAATTTATTATTAGTAGGCTATCTTGTATACTCAAAAAAAGAGATTTATTGCTTAATCATAGATACATCTTAATCCTAATAAAATCCAAATATGCTATAAGGTCGTAATAAAAATATTTTATTTATACAGTATTAAGATATTGAAACAGAGCTATCTAAAATATCCTCGAAAGTTGCTATCATAACAGTTAAAAGTTTCGAATATATCGAAAGTAATATATATTATATACATTGGTATATATTATATTTATTGGTTTCAGAGCCGAAGAGCTTATATTTGACTCTCGAAATCAAATATTTCAACTACTGATTTCTCAGTAGAAGTCAATTGCAGAAATATAATTGAGTGAAAGAATAGCTGAGTTATCATTAGTAATCAGTAAAAAAGAAAAAAAAGCTATTAATTCTTTATTTTTTATCTCTTGTATTTTTTTCAATATTAGTTCATTTCCTGCGAAAACGTAGGTATGAAAAGCTGTCAAGATGCAGAACTTAAAATAATTTTTTCCTACATGACATTTATAATTTTGCTAATTTATTCTGATTATTTGATATGAAATCTAATAAACGTTTTTATTGTATCAGATTTTCATATCTTATGTAATTGAAACTCAAGTTAAATTAAAGAAAACATTTTTCATATATTAAACTAACAATTAAGTGATCAAATATCAGAATTAATTAATTGATATTAATTAATTAAGAATATAAAAATAACAAAAATTATTCTTAATTAAGTAAATTTATTAAATTAAAGATTATAAAGGTATTAAAAAATTAAAATTACGTAAAAGAAAACATCTCTTCCTATTTTATTACTAAATAACAACATTTCTAAGTTTGATCAAAGTTTAGAAAATAAATATATTGAAAAATTTTAAATTGCGTTTTTACAGCTCTATAAAGACCAAGAAGCGAATATGTTCGGGACATAAACGTTGTTTCAGATTAGACGAAACGGAAAATATAAATACGACCACTTTCTTGAAAATAGCGGAGATTTTTAAACTTTTACATGATTTTAATAAAAACTGTAAACAAGCTAGTTTTAAAATCGAAAATAGTAAGTATTTTTGACCCACATTAAACATAAGGATTTCTATAGTGAATGACATCAAGTGAAAATTCAAAAACCATTATGTTTAGATACATTTTAAAATGGATGGGGGAGTGAAAAATCAATTTTGAACTGTGATTTAAGTGCGTTGCCTTCTTTTCGTACAGAATTTTTCTTATCATTTTTTAACAGTCTGTTTAGCAAAAATAAATAACAAAAAAAAAGTGATCTTAAGAGCTGTTTTCTCGTATAAAAAAATATATTTATTTATTACATGTATGACACTTAATTACTCATGATTTAAATTTTAATAATGTATTTGTAAAGGGAAGAAATTCTTGAAATAGTTTGTATTAATTAAGAAGAACAATTCTATTTCTAGTTATTTTAAGAATTTAAAGATCGAATACCCATATTTTGCATCGATCTTTTATCAAATAAAGTTGTTGGGAATATTCGGATGGTTTTCTTTAGTAATACTCTATTAAAAAAAAAAATTTGATAAATAGTGACGTTGAATAAGATTGGAGTCTTGTTGTCTCTAGTGATTCAGTGGAAATTATCTGGCAACCTGTAGACATTTTTCCAGCAGAATTTTTGGTGATAAGCTAGAGCGTGGTGATAAATGTTCCTCTTTAAATCGTGTGTATCACGGAATGAGGTTAGTGTCTTATGTATATGTTTTAAAAATTTTATTCGTGTGGTCGAATGTTTGATTATCTGGATTTATTTATATGTCTAGACTCGAGATGCATAACGACTTCTTCAAAAATATCGATAGGAACTGTCTCTGTCTAAACTACTAGAATTTAGTGTCTACTAAAGTTAGTTTTCACAGACAGAGCCGAATCAATAGCATTTCCAGATTATTTTTATTATTGGTATCGCTGTAACGTTTAATCTTTAACCAGAATGCATTATTTTAATCCGTTTGTTCAAGGAAGAACGCGTTAATAATGACAGATAAAAGATGTGTCGATTTTTTTCCATTTTTGTGGAGTTGTACAGTGTCATGTCTGATCACTTCATATTAATTTTGGAGGCGTATGTCATTTTCTGGTAGTACTATCGCTGCTGTCTCGTTCGGGTTGTCAAAATGCATCTAATCCATTAAGTTCGTTCATACGACACCCGACAATTCTCCATTTTTATTATTATTACGTCACGGTTAGATGATTATATATGGCACCCTACTGAATTTAATTTTTTTTAACTTTATGTGGGCATTTGTTAACTGACTTTTTAACTAATGTAACTGCAGCGTTTCCTGAATTAAATGCGTGAAATCGTTAAAAGAAGGGGGGAAGGATTTCGTTATATAGTAAAGAATGTATCATATATAAATATTATAATACACACGAAAATTTTCAAGCAGAAAATATCTATTAAGTTGACTCACATTAAGCGAACATGTTTAAATGCGAGTGGTTTTTACACAGATTAAATTTTCCAGTTTGAATTTAAAGATGAAATAATTCGTACAATTTTTTATGTATTAAACAGCTTTTTTAAAAACATAACTTATTTTAAAATATAAAAGATTAAAATAAAAAAATAACAAAATAAAACGTGTTAAACGGTTGACGTGCACAATACAGTCACTTTATAAAAGAAATGGATCATATCGCACGAAAACTCCATTAGTATTGGTCAAGTGAAAAATAATGCTTGACAGGAAAAAATGATATTTAATAGTTCTAGATGATACGTAAACAACAAAATTACACGTTAACACCATTAGTTTAAGAAATTATGTTGCATTTCGACGGATGTAAATGGATTGAGGAGAAGAA